GATGGGATAAAGAAAAAAACAGACAAGAAAGTATAAACATACTCGTTTTAAGTGAGCAAACTGATTTTTCAGTAACAGCCTTAAGCTTTTTAAACATTTTGCTAAAACAGAGAAGGGCAAAAAAAAAAGACCAGGAAGAGGAGGAGGAGGAGGAAGAAGAGGGGATTGGGGTGGGAGGAAGAAGAAAAACGTTTAAAATCAAAAAGATCTTTTTTTTTCTGCAAACAACAAAAAATGAAAGGAAAAATGGAATAAGTGAATTTACTACAAGTAATGGCTCTTCGAAAACTTTTGTTTCTAACTAGCTTTTTTGATTTTAAATAATAAAAAAAAAGAGTTAATTTAACATTAAAAATTACTAATAAGTCTTCAAGAGTCATTACTTTACAAATCATAAAACACAAAAAAAATGTATCGAAAAAAGGAAAAAAAAAAAAAGCTGCAATCAACCAATTGTAAACAAAAAAATGTCTTAAAATTGAAAACAAACATGAGTTTGAAAGTAGTCGAGAATAAGAGAGTAGAACGATAGGAGAGGTGTATTGGTTTATCAGTCGTAAAGCAGCGTTTCTGTAAATCGTTATAAAGCAAGGTAAAATAAAAGTATAGCCTAATCTAATTAAAATTTTAAAATTGAAAAAGCGATCTTTTTTGAACCTATTTGTAACGCTGTCTTTATAATAGCTTCTGCGCAACGTGGAACCGCTAGCTTTACGATCCACGAAGACAAAAAACCGTTGTTTATTGCTGACAACACTTATCATCTTATCAATGACCACTGATAATATACAGTTTAAAAAAAAAGAAAAAGAAGAAAAATTTGAAAAAAAAAAAGAGAAACCTGACATATTAGAATCGCTCTTTCTTCGTGTTTTGCATACGGTGATAAATGATTATTAAAGTTTTTTTGTAAAAAGCATTTATGTAGGATAGTCAATAAAAAGTATAAATATTTTTTGCTCTTAATTTCACGATGAAATTAATATAAACATTTTGAAAAACTGCGAAAAAAGAGCAGAAAATAAAAACCCTAATAAAAGATACTTATCAACTACAGTACCGTAGTTTTTTTTTGTTAGTTAAAATAATTTTAAGATAACCGATCAATCGTTTCCAAAAATTTTTTTTCTTTCTTTGCACTGTAATTTTGTTGCAAAATTACCAAAAAAAAAAAACAAACAAAAATAAACTGCTCAACATTGACTGTTTAACGATAGGACAACAACTTCAATGATGATAACGATGACGACGATAATAATGATGAGTGATGTTTGAATAGATGAACGAAGTTGCATGGAAACACAGCTTGTTCTCATTGCTTCATTAGCCGATTCTTTCTTTTTCGGTTTAATAGTCAAGACTACAGTCTTATTGTAAGGCAACTTTTAAAAACGAAAAAAAAAAACAAAGAAAAAAAGGCAAAAAGTACAGAGAAAAAACCTTACAGCCTTTGTTTAATGCAAATATATTTTTGATAATACACTAAAACACTTCAAAAAAAATTTTTTGTTTTCTATTTAAATTTTTTCCGAAGATATAAAAAAATTATCAATTTCTTTAATTTTCTCTAACTTTTTTCTCTGTTTTGTAATATATTTTCTTGAGATAAAACAAAATTTGCAATAACAACGCAAAAAGATCTTTTTTTTTTAGTAACATAGGTCTTTCTACTTTCTCTTCTTTTTTTTTTTTTTTTTTTTTTTTTTTTTTT